GATTGAAAATCTTCATCAGATTGATTTGGATAGATGGAAAATTTCTTATAAAAATAAACCACTTCATTCAAAAAACATTCACTTATTAATTATCATGTTTTCTAAGATCAAACAAGCTTGCATTTTTTTCCAATGCATTAAAAAAAACAATAAAAAGTTCACCTTTCTACTAAAATAAGACCATCGAAAAAAGACAATTTCATTGGTTTCTTGTGAATTTTCATGCACGAAATGTATTTCAAAGCTTCCAGAAGACTTCAAGAGATTTCAGAAGACTTTGAAAGACTTTCAAGACTTCAGTCGTGAAGTCTCCGCTGTTTCCCCCTTGGAAACATCACATCTACCAAAGTTTAAAACTATTGACAAACTAACACAAACACATTGGTCTCAGATAATTCAGACCATAATCCGAACAAATCCATCTGTGTTGTGTGACTTTTTTCAACACAAAATGTATTTGTTATATATACAAGAGTACTATCATAATCCTCTTCTTTTGAAAAAAAGAAGATCAATTGTAAAAAAAGAAAAAACCGGTAAGAAAATCTTAAATATATTCTACGATCTCAAATTTTCCTTATTTGATCACACTTTATGCTTCTGAGTGTACTATTATTGTAACCATAAAAGCTATCTTTATCTCCATCACTTTAGCTTAAAAGAAAACTATTGTTCTTTTTCTATACAAACTTTTCTTTCTCTATGTAATCTGATAATCAATCATGTATTTTAAATTTACTTCTCTATATTTATGTGGCTTAAATTTATTCATTTATTGACGTATTTTTTTTACATGTTTATTCTCGTCATTGAACAATATGTATGCTTTTCCTTTTTCTGTCACAGGGACGAAGTTGGTCCATGACAAAGAAGCGTGAGGACACGCCATACACTTCATTATTTAAATAAAAGCAATATTAAATATATATATATGTGTCGTATCGAAGTTACACGAGTCGACGAAGTTACAATTTTGAAAGACAAAATTAATGAAGTTACAACTTCGTCACATGATTGTTTCGAAGTTACTTCAATTGAAATAGACACCAAATAAATATCAGTTAATTCAGGATATTTACAAAAATGTATAAAATTAATTTATTTTTTCATTTTTAAAACATTTTTATCGCGTTTTTACGAATAAACGTAGAAAAAATTATTCAGAAAAATGAAACATTGTTTTTTTTTAATAATAGTCTATATGATTATAGATCTATTCTTATGGCACTCTAGACCGGCAACTAATAAAAAAACGAGATCTTTAAAATACGATTTTCGGATGTAAACAGTAGATAGGCGTAGAATTGGCAAAGCTTTCACAATGTATTTTGATTCGAGATCTTTTCCATTTTTTACTGTGACTCGCTGTTTTAACTTTGGCATAAAATTCATGACCAATGATGAAGATAAATTAAGTGTTTAGCTGCAAGGAAAAACCAAGACAATGTCCAGACGAAAAAAAAAACAGCTCAGGAGGCAGAATATGCGTACTCCGGACTTTCCTTTCCTTCTAGTGCAGTCAAAATATATAATATACTATAACTGACAGATTCGAATTTTTCAATATAAACCATAAATTTCAAAATATAAATCTTTATACAATCTTGCGGGTAATGTTCCAAGGTCACAAATCGCTCTTACTGCTTTATTTACTATTTTTCATATGATGTTTATCTGATACGTTGTTCCGTGAAACTAATTTCACTAGTAGAATTTACATTCAACTGATACATAGATAAGACTGAATCCTGTTATTAAAATATCCAGTCACGCGAAGGTTTTGTTTGACTCAGTGAGTTTGACTCTGTTAAGCGTTGGAATTGTTCTTATAGGTAGTATTTTTCTTATTATGAAATATGTTCAAATCAGACTATAGTATTCTCAAGTTCTCGTTTTTATTAGTTACCGGTCTTGAGTGTTATAAGAATAGATCTATAATCATATAGACTACGATAAAAAAAAACAATGTTTCATTTTTCTGAATAATTTCTTCTACGTTTATTAGTAAAAGAGCGATAGAAATGTTTTAAAATGAAAAAATGACTTAATTGTATATATTTTTTTAAATATCCTGAATTAACTGATATCCCATGTGATGAAAACCGAGCAAAAACCACCGGTTAACCGCGGTTTTACCGGTTCAGTTACCGACTCCTTTATATAGACAAACTGCGATTAACCGAAGAGAACCGCGGTTTTTTTTTTCGGTTAACCACTATTTTTTTCCAGTTTACCGCTAAAACTGATCCGTTTTTTATAACATGGGATATATTTAGTCTCTATTTCAATTGAAGTAACTTCGTCGACTGATGTAACTTCGATACGATATATAGATTCAATTGTTGATGCATAATGTTCCAATACAAAGAAGAAATAATTTAATAAATTATTATTAAATTCAAAAATTTCAATGTTCAATAAGTCTTTAACTCTTTCTAAAAATGTGACCAACTGTTGGCGAAGTTGTATAAACTTATTATAAAATATCTATTCGCAGATAACTCAAGAATTTCATTCCATCAACAAGCTTTTATTTTCAAATAAATTTACGATTTTCTCAATAATATAATTCTTGATGACACTAAGAAGAATCAATGTGAATTAAGATTCATATGTTACAAACAAGGACAGAATATTGTTTCGCGACACTTTTTAATTATCAATAGGACTGTTTAAATAAAATATTGTCTGAAAGGATTTTAATAAATATTGAACTTCAAAAACAAAAATTTTTCTACTTTCAAAAATTTAGTCCAATTTATCTATGATATCTTTTGTTTCATATGTTTCAAGTAAAAAACTAATATTGTAACAAGAAATCAAATTTTTTAAAATTTCTCTTTTCACAACTACACAATATTCAAAACTCACATTTTTATTCAATGCACAGTTTTTGTATTGTGTTTTTTTTTCCATAGAAAATATGTCTTCTAATGAAAATTTTCGATCGATTAATTTCATTTGAGAACATTTAATTAAAACTTCTAAAATCTATGTTTTTATTCTCCATTCTACTTTTAACACATGATGTCATGTGTTTTTTCATTGAAATAATAATGAAAAGAGAAAAGAATATATTCAACTTTCAACAAAAGTTCTTCCAATTGATTATATAAATCAAATTAAATATTTTATTTCACAAACACATTTACGAAAAAAAAATATTGTCCTATTTAGAAATTCTAATAAACAATATTCAAAAAGACAGTAGAAATTATGTAGTCTCAAACCATATATTACAATAAAATGTTAATATACTCAATAATGAATCGTTTATTATATTAAGTCAAATTGAAAAAAACAATGTTATAATTTAACTCTTTGTTTTAATTCAAGTATTTTATTTTGATATCGACAAGTATTAGTAAAGAAAGTTTTTATTCTTTACTTTCAGTATCCTCACTTGCTAAATCTAATTCAACTTCATTTTGTATATGTTGTTCCATAGCATTTGAAATAGTTGGGAGAAGCTCTATCCTATTTAAATTTGATTCATTTCTGAATAATTTTCGTCGTTTAGAATACCAAAAACCATAGGAAAAATATAAAACTTGACCTATTGCTGTCCACACAAGAAATCGATAAACCGTTGCTTTTGTTACACTTGTCATAAGAAGCACACAAAGTAAGGATCCTATAGTTGGAATCAGCCATGGACCAAATGGCACTTCAAATGGTCGTTGCATATCTCTATGTGTATAACGCATCTATAAAAAAAAATGTTTTCGGACAACAGAATAGAGAAATGGATCAATTGAACTTACAACTATGACCGTGACATGCACGAAAATATATGTAATTAGGGCGCTAATCGAAGTTGTTTTACCAAGAATATCTACTGGACAAATACCCGAAAAAATAGCAGAGAATACACCTAAAAAAATTCAGATAACTATTAATTTATAAATCGTACAAAGAGAATATTCACCACTAATTATTGTCGAAATCCAAGGAGTTATTGTAGTCTTATGAATTTTAGTAAAGATTGGTGGTAGTAAACCATCATGAGCCATTGCATAAAATATTCGAGTTTGTGAGAGCATCATTGTCAATGCTACAGTTGTAAGACCAGCGATAGCACCCAAGTCCATAAGGATTGATAACCAAAGACCGTAAGGTGTAGCTTTTCTAGAAAAATTACAAATTAGTACCATTGATATTCTTGAACAGATAAGTAATGATTTACATTGCCTGAGAAAGAGGACTATCTGAATTCAATAAGTCGTATCGAACTAGTCCAACCATCACAGTACATATTCCAATATAAAGTAGTAGTGAAACAATTGTTGATCCAATAGTGGCAATTGGCAGCGAAGTTTGTGGTGATCTCGCTTCTTGTGCTACTGTTGAAACTGAATCAAAACCCACATATGCAAAAAAAATATAAGTACAAGCTTGTAACATGCCTGTTACTCCATATTCACTAAAGGAACCTAAAAAAAAAACACAGCAAAACTCGTGCATTTTTTAGATATATTAACAAGGCAGTCATATACCTTTATTTGATGGAAAAAATGGATGATAATTATTTAGATTGACATAACTACAGCAGGCAAAAATAAATATTAAAAGTATTATAATTTTAAACATAACCAATACAAGATTGAATATAGCCATTTGTTGAATTTGAATAATTAGTAGAATTGTAATTGCAATAATAATCCCGATAGCAAGTAAATTAATCGCTTGACCAGTGAAATAAAAATTTTCAGTGTATTCATCCCAATATAGTGGTGTTCCAAGAAGCACAGTTGTTGCATTAAAATTTGATACAATATTAAAAAATAGAATAACCTGCTTGCTCCAAGCAACTGACACTGTCAAAACACCGAATAGATAAAGTAGTGCAGAATTCCATCCAATAAACCATGCCAAATATTCTACAACAAATAAGACAAACTGAGTCTTATTATAACGATTCTTTTGAATATATACCTCCCAAGGCTAAAACAAGGAAAAGACTTGTTCATCAAAGCACAATACGTACACGATCAGTAACTCACCTGCATAAGTATATGTGTAAACTGATCCAGAACTAGGCATCATTGCTCCTAATTCTGAATATGATAAAGACGACAATAAAGCAATAACACCTGCTACAACAAATGAAATGATGACTGATGGACCAGAATATTTTGCAGCAGCTTGTCCACTCAATACAAATATCCCGATACCTGAAAATAAGACTGAAAACTGTTACCGAATGTATTATTTTCAATTTCACTTACCAATAGTAGCGCCAAGACCTATAGCAAGTAATTGAATCCAACTTAAATCACGTCTCAATTCATTTCGCGTATCAATTTCAGCTTGTAATTTATCCATTGGTTTACGTTCAATCAGTTGTTTGAAGAAAACTTTAGTACAATACACTACTCGTTTACCAGCATTATTTTCTGATTGAATGCTTAAATTGTCATCAACAACTGTATCAGTAGACATTGATAAGTTTTAGTAAATAATAATTCTAGCTTAGTCTTCTAGAACACTATACTTCACATATATGTCTACAATATTTATGCACAATATATTTCATTATATCGGAAAGTATTACGACGATCGATAAAAAACACCTGAATTGAAAATAAAAAAGAAAGTCAATTTGACTCGATTGATCAGCAGTAAGTAAAACACATTGATTAGTCACTGTTAACATTGCATACGTAAACAATTTTCAATGAAGAATACGATAGAAATGGACGTCCTTGATAACTTCCCTGTTTCCTTTCTCTTTTTCTTTATGCAGTTTTAGGTCTAGGTTCCCTCATATATATTTTCTCCTTAAAATGATGAGATGATATGACTTAATTATAGATTTTTTTCAACTGTATGAACTACAACCATGTTTCAATAAAGAAATATACGCATGACAAAAAAAGAATATTGTTTCTCTTCCGTTTCATCACATAGGCACGGTTTTAATTACAAAAATATCTTTTCAGTAGTAGATATCATTTACAAAAATTAATGAGACGTAATTTATTCATTCATGTATCCAATATTTTTTGCAACAACAATCTTTTTTTTTCGAATGATTTCGTTCGTTTCTAGATTTCAATTACTATTGTATGTACAAATTAATCAATAATGATTACCTCCATAAGATAAACATATTTCCTATATCATATAATATGACAATAAACAAGCAAACAAAAGATTAAATATATAGAAGTTGCTTTTTTATTTTCTTCGACTTTTCTTCAATAGATTATCTCTTGTTGGCCATAGAATTTGAAGAAAAAAAAACATTATTTTATTTCTAATATAAAATATGTTATAAAAAAAGAAATAAACTATATAATATCAATTAGAAGTCAAAAAACAATACATCTAACCAAGATCAACATTCAATCTAAGTATCAGTTATTTCTAGATAAATAATAAATTCAAAAAAAATTTTAATTTATATTCTTTCTCAAATTGAATCTATAATTGTAAATTAGTTTGTGCGAATTAAGCTGTTCGATAGCTATTTTCGAATCGAATATGACTTCTCAAACATGCTTATTGTGTAATTTTCATTGCTGACTCTTTCAATTGATTTAAATGAAAAGTAACATGGCACTTAATATGTTCGAAGTAGAAAACTAGAACAAAAAAACAATAAATGAAACGATCGAGTATGACTAACAAATTATTGACATACTTTACAAATCGTTTATTGAGATGACATAAAATCAATCATAAGTTAATATAAATTTTATAGAAAAAAATGGAAATCAATCCGGACTGAGCAGTATACAAAGCAGTTCCTCATTTAATTAGATAGAAACAATGCCAACATGTACTGAAAAAGTCAACGTAGAGAAAATTCTTGTTCGGCAACAGTCATTAAAACTACCTTCTACTGTGGAAGTTATTGATTATAATATTGAAACAAAGGACGACCCATTATCTATTGATCTTAATGAAAAGAAAATAAATATTAATCCGATGACAATTATCTTAGCTAATGTCAATCATTATTAGCAAATTTTGAAGAAAAGTATGTAACAGGATGTTATATAAAAAACATCAAATAAAAATATTGAAACGATTCTAGAAACAAAGAATGCATGTTATTCAACAAATGAATGATGCTTCACAACCATCCTCATTTACATTATATCCACATTGGATAGTTAATTTGATTTCAAAATAGTTTTAAACTTTATTCAATTATATTAAGTCTTCATAATTATTTAAAAAATTTTAATCGAAATAACACAACAATCGCTTTTAATCACTGGCGATTAAAAACACTGGTTAATGAACATTCAAAACTATAGCTACAACGACAGTAATCGATAGTTTTATAAAAGAACGTCGAATGACTGTTCGATCCATTGGTATTAATTAGGTTGACTTGTGCTTATTATATTTTTGTTTCATATATCGTTAAAGTTAAATGTCCATTATATTTATGTATAAAGAATATTTTTATTATACTTTCAATGGATCATTAAGGTGAAAGTAATTAAAAACATGCTTCTTTTTTTACTTGTGAGATATTTATTGAAAAATCTTTCCAAATCAAATACCAATAGAGTAAGTTTTCACGAATGAAAAGGTGACACTTTTTCTCGTCAAATTGTAAAGTTTTATCGATTTTTTCATGGGTAGTAAGTGGTCCACAGCTGCTAGCTCTGGCGTACAATAAGTTGAAACTGGTGCCAAAAATAGTACTGCCTTCGACGAGTTTTACCTCAGAGCTAGCATTCTCAGGTCGAGAAGTACGGACCGATTCCCGCAGTATCCAGTGGCCAGAATGATCGACCTGGATTGACAGTCATGTGGTCTAGTTATAAAGACAGTGATAATTTTGAAAGTTTGATGAATCTTACAGGGACTGAATGAAGGTTGTAAACAAAAATGAAACTTGTTTTTCTTTATTTCAGACGGATCAGAAATAGTGTTTCATCGAAAGCCATTCTTTAGATATGAGTCAAAGTTTATTATAGAGGACGTTAGTTTTGACAGTATCTCGGAAATATCTTAGGATCGGAGATGGATCTACATTAAGTTAATATAAAAAAGTTTGATTTAGTTTTCTGTGAAAATGGTTCGTTTTTACCGCTAAGTTTCTAGGATCTGACGCATTTCAAATAAATAACACACAAAGAACTCAGTTCATGCATAGTTTCTGAAGACTGTGATTGATCTCATTTCAAATTGATATTTCTTGTAAAAGATTCCAATTTACAAAAATTTCAATTTCCCATTTTTTTTTTTTTATTAAAGAATCAAGAGAAGATCTTAAAAATATTTACCAAAGCTGATATCGATAGAACTTTTGATGTACTACATTTAAGTGTATCATTTGTTAGAACCCGATCCATATAGCTCAAGATCATTGAGAAATAAAAACTTTTCAAGTTGCACAGATGTTACAAGAACTCCTGTAGAGGTATTTGACTTTTAGATTCTTCTACTTCGTAGATTCATTCCGAAAAAAATAAGTCTGATACAAAATTTGCAGTCCACACTTTGTTCTTTTCAACAACAAAAAATTTAATTGATTTAGAAGTTAGAAATATGGTATAGCAGAGTTTGACCTTTATGCAAAGATTTTTTTAACAGAATTAATCCTAGGTTATATTGGCCACATCAAAGAACGATAAATATGTATCTAATTTTATAGTCGAGTAATAGATTGCGTTACTACTAGAAGTCTTGAGATCTATTCTACTTACACAAATACATACGATCAGATAATTAGTGTAGAAGGCATTTTTATCGTTAAATATCTTTACAATTTTTCTTTATATTAAAAAGTTGACCTACATAAATTCTTGTTTTACTCATTCTTTAATTTGACTTCTGATTTGGTCCGCATAACTGAACTTTAAATTGATTCAATAAAATAAGTATAATTAGCTACTTTATTCGGATAATTCTTGACTAAGAACAAATTAACTATTAAATTAGAGAAAGAACGAAATATAGTTATACGGTTGAATGAACAAATTATTTTTAGTCAACGATTAAAGATGTTTTTATTTCGCTTGACTAGAAAGTTTTTGGCGTAGTTCATTATTGAGTTAATTTTTTCATTCATACACTATATCCAATATGAAAAACGTAACTTATTTATCTCTTTTAAATATATAAATTGATATTATGACTTGAGACGAAGGAGGTTACTAAATTGTGTTAGCCATGTGAAAATTTAAGCGATAAACGCTAGCTTAAAATAGGTTATATTTTCATTTAGCAAGCGCTTATCAGCTGCTGTCCAATACTTAAGCTGTAAGCAGCTAGTAAGGACTTAGAATTTGACTTTTTCAGCTACCGTAAGCGACTTGTAAGAGCTCTACTGCTATTTTAATCGTCGATACGCGCTTAAATATGGTCGAAGCACTTTCAAGTGGCTTTGAATGTGCACTTACAAGCGCTTTCTAAGCAAAAATATAAGCTAATCTAAGCCGCTTATAAATAGCTTATAATGAAAAAAAATTTCATATGGGTAGTTTCTGTTAAGTCAATAGATTTTATAAAAATTCTGAACTTTTTTTTATTTAAATAAATTATCATTGTCCTTCAGAAATGAAGAAGCAGTGTTTATTACAATAACTCGTCAGGATTTTGAATGAACTATGCAAGACCGTAAACACGATATTTTCACGGATCATCGCGCTCATCATTAACTTAGCTCATGTCTTTACAGGAAAGAAAAGATTTTTTCCTTTAAAGTTTTCTCCTAACATAATATTATTCCTTATGTTAGCCGAGCTATGTATAATTATTATCAAGACTATGTTTTGGAAAAGCTGATAGAGGAGCTTGCTTTACTTAATGAGATAAAATATATCGTCACAGTTCTTACTTACATACTATTGGTGACACAATTCATGTATGTATGTAAATCTGTTGACTTTTTTTCATTAAGATTATGATATTATATTCAGTTCCGCCTATAAGAGTAGTCTCACTTGTTCTCATATTGGGCCTTGCGACGTAGGTTGTGCTTGGAAATAACAATAAAAAATGTTCTTGTGTGAATAATATATTGAGCTTTTTTGACATAATTAAAGTTTTGTCGTTTTCCAGAAAACATCCATATCGAAAAATTTCAATAGGTGTAATTGAAATCATAATTAAGAAATCAGGAGAAACGTAACAAAATATGAAATAGAAAAAGAAGACGAAATTATTCTATTTATCCTATAAAACATAGTCGAGTCTAGAATTTTTGGAATATTGTATAGAACAAGCACTGCTTAATATTAGATAGCCAAATTCGTACAATATAATGAATAATCATATGCTAACAAAGAAAAATAGCACATCATACACAGCCATATAAAATCGCATTAGCCTGTTAGAACCATATAATCATCATGATAATAAAAGTCAAATACTATAAATTCCCGATTACTATCACAATATCTTCTAACTTGTCATTTATATTGATATGATGAACGTTTTTTTTTGCTGTGAACTTATATGGATGTGGATGATCC